GAAAATAAATGGATCTTTAAGAAGAAGACAGACGCGGATGGTAATGTGACCATCTATAAAGCTCGACTTGTCGCTAAGGGTTATCGACAAGTTCAAGGGGTTGACTACGATGAGACTTTCTCACCCGTAGCGAAGCTGAAGTCCGTCCGAATCATGTTAGCAATTGCCGCATACTATGATTATGAGATATGACAAATGGACGTCAAAACGGCATTCCTTAATGGTTTTCTTAAGGAAGAATTGTATATGATGCAACCGGAAGGTTTTGTCGATCCTAAGAATGCTGACAAGGTGTGCAAGCTCCAACGCTCGATTTATGGGCTGGTGCAAGCATCTCGGAGTTGGACCATTCGTTTTGATGAGATGATCAAAGCGTTTGGGTTTACGCAGACTTATGGAGAAGCCTGCATTTACAAAAAAGTGAGTGGGAGCTCTGTAGAATTTCTCATATTGTATGTGGATGACATACTGTTGATGGGAAATGATATAGAATTCTTGGAAAGCATAAAGGCCTACTTGAACAAGTGTTTTTCAATGAAGGATCTTGGAGAAGCTGCTTATATATTAGGCATCAAGATGTATAGAGATAGATCGAGACGCCTCATTGGTCTTTCACAGAGTACGTACCTTGACAAGATATTAAAGAAGTTCAAAATGGATCAGTCAAAGAAGGAGTTCTTGCCTGTATTGCAAGGTACGAGATTGAGCACGGCTCAATGCCCGACCACGGCAGAAGATAGAGAAAAGATGAGTGTCGTCCCCTATGCCTCGGCCATAGGGTCTATCATGTATGCTATGCTGTGTACCAGACCTGATGTAAACCTTGCCGTAAGTTTGGTAGGAAGGTACCAAAGTAATCCCGGCATGGAACACTGGACAGCGGTCAAGAATATTCTGAAGTACCTGAAAAGGACTAAAGACATGTTTCTCGTTTATGGAGGTGACGAAGAGCTCGTCGTAAAGGGTTACGTCGATGCTAGCTTCGACACAGATGGATGACTCTAAGTCACAAACCGGATACGTGGATATTTTGAATGGTGGGGCAGTAAGCTGGTGCAGTTGCAAGCAAAGCATTGTGGCGGGATCTACATGTGAAGCGGAGTACATGGCAGCCTCGGAGGCAGCACAGGAAGTAGTCTGGGTGAAGGAGTTCATTACCGACCTAGGAGTCATACCCAATGCGTTGGGCCCGATGACTCTCTTCTGTGACAACACTGGAGCTATTGCCCTTGCCAAGGAGCCCAGGTTTCACAGGAAGACCAGGAATATCAATCGTCGTTTCAATTCCATTCGTGAAAGTGTTCAAAATGGAGACATAGAGATTTGTAAAGTACATACGGACCTGAATGTGGCAGATCCGTTGACTAAACCTCTCCCTAGAGCAAAACATGATCAACACCAGAACTGCATGGGTGTTTGATTCATCACAATGTAACTAGAATATTGACTCTAGTGCAAGTGGGAGACTGTTGGAAATATGCCCTAGAGGCAATAATAAAATGGTTATTATTACATTTCTTTATTCATGATAATTGTCTATTGTTCATGCTATAATTGTGTTATCCGGAAATCGTAATACATGTGTGAATACATAGACCACAACCCGTCCCTAGTGAGCCTCTAGTTGACTAGCTCGTTGATCAAAAGATAGTCATGGTTTCCTGACTATGGACATTGGATGCCATTGATAACGGGATCACATCATTAGGAGAATGATGTGATGGACAAGACCCAATCCTAAGCATAGCTCAAAGATCGTGTAGTTCGTTTGCTGTAGCTTTTCCGAATGTCAAGTATCATTTCCTTAGACCATGAGATTATGCAACTCCCGGATACCGTAGGAGTGCCTTGGGTGTGCCAAACGTCACAACGTAACTAGGTGACTATAAAGGTACATTACAGGTATCTCCGAAAGTGTATGTTGGGTTGGCACGAATCGAGACTGGGATTTGTCACTCCGTATGACCGAGAGGTATCTCTGGGCCTACTCGGTAATGCATCATCATAATGAGCTCAATGTGACCAAGTGGTTGATCACGGGATCATGCATTACGGTACGAGTAAAGTGACTTGCCGGTAACGAGATTGAACGAGGTATTGGGATACCGACGATCGAGTCTCGGGCAAGTAACGTACCGATTGACAAAGGGAATTGTATACGGATTGATTGAATCCTCGACATCGTGGTTCATCCGATGAGATCATCGTGGAGCATGTGGGAGCCAACATGGGTATCCAGATCCCGCTGTTGGTTATTGACCGGAGAGGCGTCTCGGTCATGTCTGCATGTCTCCCGAACCCGTAGGGTCTACACACTTAAGGTTCGGTGACGCTAGGGTTGTAGAGATATTAGTATGCAGTAACCCGAAAGTTGTTCGGAGTCCCGGATGAGATCCCGTACGTCACGAGGAGTTCCGGAATGGTCCGGAGGTAAAGATTTATATATAGGAAGTCCGGTTTCGGCCATCGGGAAGGTTTCGGGGGTCACCGGTATTGTACCGGGACCACCAGAAGGGTCCCGGGGGTCCACCGGGTGGGGCCACCCATCCCGGAGGGCCCCATGGGCTGAGTTGGGTGGGGAACCAGCCCCTAGTGGGCTGGTGCGCCCCCCCTTGGGCCTCCCCTGCGCCTAGGGTTGGGAAACCCTAGGGGTGGGGGCACCCCCCACTTGGCTTGGGGGGGAAGCCACCCCTTGGCCGCCGCCCCCTTGGAGATCCATCTCCCTAGGGCCGGCGCCCCCCAAGGCCCCTATATAAAGAGGGGGAGGGAGGGCAGCCGCACCCCTTGCTCTTGGCGCCTCCCTCTCCCTCCGTTACACCTCTTCTCCCCGCTTGCGCTTGGCGAAGCCCTGCCGGGATCCTGCTGCATCCACCACCATGTTGTCGTGCTGCTGGATCTTCATCAACCTCTCCTTTCCCCTTGCTGGATCAAGAAGGAGGAGACGTCTCCCAATCGTACGTGTGTTGAACGCGGAGGTGCTGTCCGTTCGGCACTTGGTCATCGGTGATTTGGATCACGTCGAGTACGACTCCATCAACCCTGTTCTCTTGAACGCTTCCGCACGCGATCTACAAGGATATGTAGATGCACTCCTCTCTCCCTCGTTGCTAGATGACTCCATAGATTGATCTTGGTGATGCGTAGAAAATTTTAAAATTCTGCTATGTTCCCCAACATGCATAATCTTCAGCGCGCGCAGGGGGGGGGAGGGGGTCATGTGTGCAGTGCTTCCAAAATTCGCAGGGGCCACACATGCATGCGGCCACCCATTTTGCTTCAAAGATTGATGCACTAGTTTGTGCAGTTTGCCCTTAATCGTTGCACTGGGGTCAATGCATGATAACTCTTGGCAAAGTTGCATGCGTCACCCACCCCACCTCGCATGCTTTTCATTTGATCTCAAAATATGAAACTATTGTATCTTTTAAGCCAAAAGTCCAAATTAAGTTCCGTTGGCATATTCGTGTTCGCTGCAACTAGTACTTTTGAACAAGACCAATTTTGAATACATTTAGACACCTTTTACTGTTTTTATCAAGTTTCAAATATTAAAACTTGATACTCATAATATTATGTTTTACAAAGTTTCACCAAGTTTTATCAAATTTCGTTTGCTTTTACGGGTTTCCAGCTGAGAGCTTAAGGTTTATGTTTTAGTCTTTGAAACTGGCTGAATTCATCATTTGCTCCATCAAGTTTTAGTAGTTGAAACCTGCTGCGGTTTTTAAAACTTGTCAAAACATATTCAAAAGTGAGCTTGTTTCAAAGCTCTCATCACAAGGAACATGAATATGCAAACGCGGTATAAATTAGACTTTTGATTCAAACGATATAATAGATTCAGATTTACAAGTCAAAAGGAAAAACATTAAAGGTGGGGTGTGTGGGGCACACACTCTCTGACAAAAGTTATACCAAAAGCTGCATTAATTAACTAAACTCTAATCACAAAATCACTTTCCAATTGTCAATGCAGTCATGCGGCCCCCGCACCTACACGCCACAGATCGTCTCTTCGAGTTGTGTTGGAGAACATGTTAGGCTGGTCATAATGGGGAGTAACTTGTACGAGTGTCATGCATACTAATCTAAGTTTTTTTCGAGGATACGCAAATTGCGTACCTTAGCTTTGTAGAAGAAGAGAAATAAGACATACAACAACGTCTACCACTCGAAGGCGACCCACTCCACACCCGGTTTGTACAAGGACAACCAAACACAACAACACAACTACGACACAAAAAGCCTACCCAACACCGAGCCCCTCGCCGCGTCTCGGCCGACACTGAAGACCTCTGAAGAACAGCAACTCCAGCTTCCTTGAAATAGCCAGCGACGACCGTACATGGCGCCAGAGGAGAAAGATTCGGGCAGCGGTGAACACCGGAGGAGCACATCATGGGACCTTGAGTCTCCCAGCACAATGCTCCCAACAGAGTAACAACCTCAAAGACGTTGCCATCATGCGGATCCTACGAATCAGGGCTTTCGCCCCGGAGATAGCTGCCGATACGAGGTCGCGAGGAAGATGGCGTTGCACTCGGCGAAGCCTCCAGGAAGGTGAACGACACCCGCAGGTGCCATCAACGCCGGTCCGACTACAACCGAACAGGATTTTCATCCGTAGCGCTGCACATCTCCCCGTCTCCAAGATCCCGGCCAGTCCCGATCAGATACCTCGCACCGCCGTCACCGTAACAACTTGCCATGGAAGCCCCCTCACTTCCAAGGGAAGTTACTACTACCTTCATAGTGCCAAGTAAGGTAGTAGTAGTAGCATAGATGACTTTATTTATTAGCTTGTAGACTCATATTGTTTTGAAAAGCGCTATGTTACAGTAATGTTACTACTCATTGGCAAAAAAAATTCTAAATGCGCTATGTTATTAGCTAAGTTACTCCCACTATAACTAGCCTTAGTATTTTGACACCAAACGTTGTCAGATTTAGCAAAGTTTGCCGATGCAGAACTGAGTGTGTCTGGTCCTTTTGTTTCAAACATGTGCTATGTTTCGGCATGGGACTTTGTCAGATTTAGCAAAGTTCGCTCATGCAGAAGGATCCACTCCCGAGCGCCATGGCCGGGGCAGAGGTCGCAGTCCCTGTCCCAGCTCCCGACGAGTGACATCCATCGCCCAATAGGGAACAGCTGTACGAGCGGAGGGCATTTCGGTCCGAACCACCTCGGAGGTTGGGCCGTCACATCCGCGGGTGAGGAAAGAAAAAAAAGGCGCCCCCTCCCCGCGATATAATTCCCACCGAGGCGCGCAAGGAAGCGTCCGTGAGGGAGCAAGCAGACTCGCAGACGGAGCGCGTCTCGTCTCGTCTCGTCTCGTCGCAGTAAAAACTGGGGAGACGGCCGCGGCCGCACATGCTTTAAGTCCCACTCCCTCCTCCTCCACCACCACCACCTGCTCAGTCGCCTCAGATCTCCAGCTGCCCCCTTCCTCGGCGGGCGCGGCCGCATTCCTCGCCGTGCAGAGCGGAGCGGGGATCGGTGGGTGGGTAGCTGCAGCTGCTGCTGGGGAGTGTCGGTGGAGGAAATGGCGCCGGTTGGTGGCGTCGCCGGGAGCTCCAGATCCGCGGCCTGCTGCGCCGTGCTGCTCGCGGCGGTGCTCTTCTTCTCCGCACCGGCCACCACAGGTTCGGCTAGCTCCTCTCCTTCCCGCCCGCCCGGTCCTTCCCTCTCTCTCGTTCCTCGTCGTCGTGCCTGGAGCCGGCGAATCGGTAAACGGATCCCGATCGCCGCGGTGCATCGGTGAGACGAGGCGGTCGCACGGGTTCTGCTCCGCGCGCTGGTCAATGCGCCCTCCCGTTTAGTTAGTGCTGTCGGTGTCGGTGGCTTCTAATTTTGATCCCACCGGGTTAGTCCTGTCCGTTCATTTAGAGCTTGTCCGAGTTCTGAAGCCAAATTAGGAAGCTATTCCTATCTGTGAGACGAGCGATCTGTCAAGCTTCCCCGCTGCCACTCTGCCGATCTTGTTGACACTTGCTCGTGGCGAGCTCTGCGGCGATAGATCTGTCCAGGAGGGAAGCGGATCAGTACAAACATATCGACCAATTGCTTTGCTGCTAGAAAGTATCCACTGGATAAATCCTGCAAACTGCAATTATGATGTAGAAGTAGTAGTAACATAGAGTGCATCTAGCGTGTCAATTCAACTTCTCTCTTTAGTTTCTTTCCATGTATGTATCTGATGTATGCACCCTTTGTTTGTTTGTTCACGCAGAGGCTTATGATTCGCTGGATCCAAACGGCAACATCACCATAAAATGGGATATTATTTCGTGGACTCCTGATGGTTATGTGGTAAGTAGCACCTCTTCACATCAACAGCTCTGTCTTTCATCTCAACCTATTAGCCTATTATATATTTATATTATTTTTTCATTGTTTTTGAGATAGCTCACCACTCATGCCAAGTGGTATTATATATTTATATTAGCTCATGATTTTGACCTTGACAAGTAGCATGGCTAATAGTTGGTTACAAACTTTGCCACAAACAATATAGTAGCCACCAAGTACAATTACCAGCAGATTTTGGATATCTGGTCACCTCTACTTGTATCATGATCTTTTTTTCCCAAACTTATCATGTGCAGGCAACAGTGACAATGTTCAACTACCAGCAGTTCCGACACATACCTGCACCTGGGTGGCAGCTGGGATGGTCATGGGCAAAGAAAGAGGTCATCTGGTCGATGGTGGGGGCTCAGGCTACTGAGCAGGGTGATTGCTCAAAATTCAAGAGTGCCCCTCCCCATTGCTGCAAGAGAGATCCAACGATTGTCGATCTTCTTCCGGGCACCCCATTCAACCAGCAAATTGCCAATTGTTGCAAGGCAGGAGTTATAAAGACATTTAACCAGGACCCAGGAAATGCTGCATCCTCCTTCCAGATTAGTGTAGGTCTTGCTGGGACTACCAATAAGACGGTTAAGATGCCGAAAAACTTCACCCTTAGGGCCCCAGGTCCGGGGTACACATGTGGGCGTGCTCTTGTTGGCAGGCCTACCAAGTATTACTCGTCAGACGGGCGCAGGGTAACCCAAGCTCTCAGTAAGTTGCCCACTTATTGCTCTTCACTGCTTGCTCTATATTGCTTTAATACTTTGCGCAAATGCATTAGCAAGCTACACTAATTGAGCTAAACACATCTTAGTACCACTTTTGTACGTTTCTGCTCCTTAATTGTGAATGAATTTTATGTTATAATATGTGTAGGATTAGTGAAAGACTGAAAGGAGTGAAACCATTGAAATCGGAAGTGATTCATTTTCGAGAGGAGATGAGTTCATCACCTAGGATCGATGTTAGCTCATATTTATTTGAAAATAAGCCACCACTAAGCCTGATAATATCTTAACTAGTTTTGTTCACTTGCAAATAATGGATTTCAAATGCAGGAAACATCAGATTGGTTCCATATAGTTTTTATTCTTTATTGCTGACAATGTTCTTTATTTAGTGGGTATTAACAAAAGAAATTCTCTATTGGCAGTGTCGTGGAATGTAACCTGCACATACTCCCAATTTCTTGCTCAGAAGACTCCCACCTGCTGTGTATCTCTCTCATCGTTTTATAACGACACTATTGTGAACTGCCCAACGTGCTCTTGTGGCTGCCAAAACAATATTACTCGTCCAGGAAGCTGTGTAAAGTGAGTTAATAATTATTACTGTTTACTATGCTTCCTATTAAGGTTCCAACCTTCTGCAAATTCCTTACTAATCCTATCCATTTTACAGTGACAATTCGCCTTATTTACAATCTGCCATCAATGGCCCTGGCAAATTAACTGGCCAGCCTCTTGTCCAATGTACTTCCCACATGTGCCCGATAAGAATCCATTGGCATGTGAAGCTCAACTACAAGGACTACTGGAGAGTGAAAGTCACCATCACAAACTTCAACTACCGCATGAATTATACAGACTGGAACATGGTTGCCCAGCATCCTAACTTCGATAATATCACAAAGCTGTTCAGCTTCAACTATAAGCCACTTACCCCATATGGAGGCCGCATAAGTAAGTCACCTTGTGAACTGTTTTAATTAGTTTCTGACTTGAGATGTGCCTCCTATCTGACGTGTTTATCCCTCCCATTTCAGATGACACCGCAATGTTCTGGGGAATGAAGTTCTACAATGATTTGCTCAATCAAGCTGGCCCGCTTGGAAACGCGCAGTCAGAACTACTCATGCGGAAGGACTCGGAGACTTTCACCTTCCAAAAAGGATGGGCGTTTCCCCGGCGTGTGTACTTCAATGGTGATAACTGTGTCATGCCATCTCCCGATGACTATCCATGGTTGCCTAGTGCAAGCCCTCTGACAAAACAACCATGGACGCTCCCACTATTGGTGTTCTGGACTGTGTTGTCTACTTTGCTGGCTTATTACGTATGATGAAATGAGACCAAGAGATTCAGCGAGCTTCAAGTCGCTGTCATGTTCCATGAGGTGCGCGGCAACAGGTCATTTGTTCATTCCATTCCACGGTTGCATAGAAGACACGGGTGCCGCGCTGAGGAAAGCTGATACGTGTGTGTGTTTTGTAAGTTAAAAAGGGCTGAAAATGTATTTCTTGTTTTGGTATATACTGGCCATGAAACTTTGGTGAACTTAGTTACTCAAATTTAGGTAATTATGGTTGCACCTTCTGTATTTTATAGCAGACGCAGACATTTTAATTGAATCATATGACTGCCTTTCTTGTAGTGATTGTATGAGTTACATAATAATGTTTTGTACAATTTGTTAAACCGAGAGGATGCTGTTGGTTGAGATAATCTAGCATTGTTTTCCTGATCCCTCTCGTTTTCGAAACAAGTGCTAGAGTTAACAAGAATCAAAAGAAGCACAGGACAACACTCAGGCTAGGCTGAACAGAAACGTACCTAAGATCATAAAACCATAATGTACAGCAAAAAGAGGCATGAAATGGTTCTTCTCTATCTGCACACTATGAATTTAGAAAATTGCAATAATGCAGTAGTGAACGAGCATGCTTGCCACGTACGTACCAGGTTGTCTTCCTGATTGCTACGTTTAACGGGTTGCTTCATCAAACATTTGCTGTTTGAATATAATGTGATTCTCTGTGCTTTTGACCTTGTGAGACGCCTGATGATGTTCATGATCTTACGATCTTACTTCTGGCTTACCGGACCAGTTCCCTCCCAGCCAAAAGAAAAATGGCTATGATGGGAGGGACTGCTCTATGGTGGACAATATGGAAAACCAGAAATGCAGCATGTTTTGATAAGAAAATGCCTAATGATCCTGCACCAGTTATCTTCCATATTTGCAGTCATCTCACCAACTGGAAAATCTTGTAGACAAACCTGAAAGCAGGAAGCATTGAGCTCGCTGTGGAGAAGATCAGGCAGGTGGTGCGGGAGATCTACAACAGAAGCCATGGATGGGGCCCTACGGTTCCCAGAATCACGGGTGGATGATTTCTACTACACCGCCTTCTTGTTTTCTTTCTTCCTTGAGTGATAACCTCTCTAGTTTGCTTTACAAGGCTTGTTCCAGTTTGTGTGTGAGTGCCAAAAGGCCCTGCTTAAAAGTTCTGAAGAAACTGCTGCGTGTGAGCTGGTTTTCAGGACCTGCACAGTTACCTGAAAGCTAATATATATTAGTTTGCCTGATGATGCACAAACTGCCCTGGGTATATCGCTCCAGGTGTTCTTATGCTTTCTCTCTCTCTTCGAATGTTGTAAGACTCTAGGTTTCTCTAGTGGAAACCGACGAGGGAGGTTCGTTGTTTCCAAAAAAAAAGTTGCTTCTGAATTCAAAGAGGTAAGCTGCTTGTATGCTGCGCCGTTGTGCCACAAAATAGCACCATTTTGACGACGACAAGACATGCCCGTCTACTTTTCATTCTTCTGAGAGAAAATGGTATGCTCATCTGCTGTTAGTTTGGAGAACAGACCGACGGCACTAAATGATTTTTCTGTTTGAGATGAGGCCGTATAAAACTGACTGCAATTATCCAAATTTTGTTCTAGTAATGGAACCAGGGAGAAACCTCCCCAAAGGGCAGCCCGGTGCATGTAGCTCCCGCTTGCGCAGGGTCCGGGGAAGGGTCCGACCACTTTGGGTCTATAGTATGCAGCCTTTCCCTACATTTCTGTAAGAGGCTGTTTCCAGGACTTGAACCCGTGACCTCATGGTCACAAGGCAGCAGCTTTACCACTGCGCCAAGGCTCCCCTTCAGGGAGAAACCTCCCCAATGATATAAAAATATCTTCAACAATAATCATCAGGCAATGTTACTACTAATCAAACAAGAGAAGCTTGTATCATTCAGAGCAATGAAACCGAAACATAACAACTTTACTATAGTACAAATTACAGAACACATCAGGATATATATAGTAGCATAAAAAATCCTGGAAACAATTTACCTTATGAAGGACGCTGTTTCCGAGCCCTCAGAAACATCATCATCTGCAACAAAGCATGATCGGCCATTGTTGAAGGGAGCCATGATATTGCTTCGGCTTGGAAGTTTCACGGTGTTGCCTCTGCCGAGTCTCAGAGATCAGTAGACATATGCTGCCTATGGCCTGGCATATATATACCCATGAGGAGTCAAAGATGCAGTGCAATGGAAGGATCAGGGAGATGGTTCACCCGTAGCTGTTGGTTTGTTGGCTGGTTGCAGTTGCAAGCAAGCCCCAGGTTGAGAAGCTCAGCACCACCTTCCACATGTTGGTTTTTGCTCTGCCTTCAAGCAACACCATCAATTCCAAGTGATACCCCTGCATAATACTATCAGGTAAGGTGTACATTTCCAGGTGACACCTGGGGAAGGATTATACAAGGCATTGAGGCAAGCCTTATCTGCACAATGCAATGCCAAGAGGCTGTGTCGAACCCAGGTGCTAGGTTACTAAGCACAGCAGTAGCACATGATAAAATTTCTTCAACTAGTATTACGTAGTGATGGCGAAGCAACCCCAGTTTAGAAATATCAAGAGAGGGGGCGGCAAAAGCTACCTGCTATCTTTCTGAAGTCTACTGCCCAACTATCTACACCTTGTGAGGTGACACAAGGGGAAGAAAAACGAATAGGAAAATATATGGATGAAATGCTTGCACGGGAAGCTTTCAACAAATGTCGACTCAAAAGGAGGGGCCAACAAATCCCAATTTGCATCTTGAAAGTTACAAAAGAACAAGTTACACAAAAGTCTTCAGGGTTATTCAGGAGCAAGTGAGGGATTGAAAAATCACAATATTCAGAAATAGCAGTACCGTGGCACATCCCACGAAAATAACAAAAATAGAAGCAATAATGGCACGGAAGAAATCTGCGCCAGCAGCTGCCTCAAGGCGTAAGAGGGTTTACATCACACACATGGTTCAGGTCTTGAAATGAATCTATCCATTGAATGACATATTGACAAAATAGTACCACCAATTTTGTGGACAAATATTTGACTCAAGTACCTAAGGGCTCAATACAGCAATGTGTCTTCCCCTTTGGACAGAAGTACATAATCTCTCCATCCATAACCAGCTATAAATGTGTTGGTTACCCCAAAATGGTCCTTCAATCAACCTATAACCGATCATCACTTCCTTCGAGCATACAATATAGCAAGCACGGCTGATATCCCAACTGCTGCTACCGGAATGGCCCAGTACTGCACAGCGTAAGCCGCCAGCTTGCTGGCGAAGTCCTTGTCCTGCTCTTTCCTGAAAACCTCCATCTCAGGCATGTCAGGTGTTTCGTCCAAGTCCAACTCCCCAATGAAGTAATCTTTCATCAACTCCTTGGCATCCTTGCTGTGGCCCGCATCTTCAAATTCCTCGGTGCCATCCATACCTTGAAACAGATTATCATGTATGAGCAGACAGCCTATGAGAAACTAAAATGTGCTGAACAAGAACATGAAAACAAGAGGTGAGAACTGAGAAGTAGTACCAGTCACGGCAAGCAGCACATCAGCACCCCCAGGATGGTCATCCAAATACGCGGTCACATCATAAATCTGCATTGTATTCATCAACAGGGCATGAGCTCGCCACAGAATCAGAGTAGTGGAACATATTTGCCAGGTAGTATTGTAATGCGTATCTACTCTCTGCTGACACAAATTCTATTTGATTCAAAGCCCTCAACAGAGGCATCTGCTGTGGTTGCCTTCAACAGAGGATACCCCAGCACAACTGCCCCACGAGGTGACTAGCAGGCCACGCCACTCGCAGAGACGTTCGGTTTCGATTCCTGCAGCCTTCTCACTAACAAAGCGAGCGCGGGATCTCCCAGGCATTCGGTCGAACAGGCTAAGGGCGGGGGTCGAAGCCCAACTAGCAACAACGAAACGCGTCCATACACCCTAGACCCTACCTACCTACCTACCGATGTTAGGGGCAGTATTGCTGAAGCCAGATCGGCGGCGAGGGGTATGAGGGAGGCGCTACCTTGCCGTCGACGACGATCCAGCAGTCGTCGGGGGTGTTGTGGAGGGCGGCCTCCTTCATGCTGTACAGCTTCGTCAGCGTCGGCATCTCGCTCTCGCTTTCCCAGTCCGGTCGGCTGGGGCGAGGGCGAGGTCGAGGGAATACTGCTGTACGGAGTGGGTGAATCTGCCCCGGCTTGCAGAGGAAGAAGAAGGTGGCTATCTGGATTCTGGACCAGGTATCTGGTCTTGAATCTGCCGCCGCTTGCCTTGCAGAGAAAGAAGAACTGTTTTTCTTTTTGAGGATAAAGAAAAACTGCTTTGGGGGGATTTCGGGGAGTTCGGGGTTGGGTTTAGGCCTCGTGGGCCTAGGATAATGGATCGCACAGCCCAGTGTAACCAAAACCCCACCAAAGCCTTCTAAAAATAAAGCAACCCCACCAAATTGATGGCCTGTCTGTAGCCCACAAAGGCAGGAATTTTTATCTGTTGCTAAAAAAAAGGTACTGTATGCTTTATCTGATGGGCAGGAACAGAAGGATGTTCACAAATATATAAATCTCAATTAATCTCTTAATAATGTAATGATATAATTTACTTAAGCTCCCTATGAATATGAATGGAGCCTCCTGGTGCATCGAGGTTATTTCATGTATTCGTGGCCCCACATGTTAGGAAGTGGATCGGATGTGGGCTGCGGTTGGGCCTATTAGCATTTGAACGCGGCGCTCCTACGTTGGTCGATAGGTAATTTTTTTAAATTCATGTTTTCCTGAATTCATGATTATTTTAGAAACTTGGAAACTTCTTTTGAAATTCACTAACATTTCTAAATTCATGAACATCTTTTATATTCGTGAATATTTTTGTATTGCGGGCATGTGACGCCCCGAGACCAATGTGCCAGGTGTCCTCCAGTTATTCGCTGTTGTTGCCTTGTCTTTTGCTTGCGTGTTGCATCTTGTCATGTCATCATATGCATTGCATCATCATGTTTTTCAAAACCTTGCATTAGTCCGGGTCTCCCAGTTTCGTCCGTTGTCCGTTCTGAGCCCAGACACACTTGCACGCGCCCGCGGCATGTCCGAAATATTATGTTATAAGTGGCCGGAAAATGTTCTCGGAATGGGCTGAAAGTTGGCGTGCGGTGTTGTTTTGTTGTAGGTAGGCCGCCTGCCAAGTTTCATCGTGTTCGGAGTCCGTTTGACGCCCCAACGGATAACTATAGCGGCATTTTAGCCGGTCTAACGTCGGACGTTTTCGGTCTCCGGAAACAGTCGTCGGGCCTCTCTCTCTCTTCTCTTCTCTCAGCTCGAGCCCTTCTGTACAACCCACAAGTTCCAACCTAACCTCTCTCGTCAGCCCGCGGCCCTCCTCGCGCGCGCGTCGAAAGTTGTCCCGGACCCGACCCGGACAGTCGTTACCCTTATGTCCGGATCATCCCCAAACATCTACAAAATATCACTGTTTCCTTATTTGGGCTACCTAAGCTATTTTTCCCCGTCCGTCCGATTACGATCGGAGGGACCTTATACCCCCCTAAACCCATCCGGCTTGCTATATATAGTAACAACCCTAGACTAATCCCTAGATTTTAGCCCGTTTGTCCCATCGGTCCATCCGCGCCGCCACCTGATGCCCTCCTCCTCCTTGCATTCCGTGCCAAACCAACCAGATCCACTTTCTCCTCCCCTCGATCCCACCAAGTTGTTGCCGAGGCCCCGAGCAAGAGCGCTCGACCCTGTCTCCCTGCGCTGCTATTCGCCACGCCGGCGACTTTGCCCGGTGCTCAAGCACCACCGCGCCGCCTTTTTCCCCTTCCCTTCTTTCTCCTGCCTTCTTCTCATTCTCCTCTGCTTCTCTCTCCTCGTAACTCTCTCTCTCCCTCGCCTTGGACAGGGGAACCAAAGGAAGCCGCCCCATCGCCTGGATCCATTGCTCCGTCCGGCCTCCCTCGCCTCTCCCGCGTCACCGGTGGTCGCCTCCGCCCGCTGCCATCTTCTTCCCGAAGCGTCGTCCCGGCCTCCTCATCAGACCGACTTCCCCGTCAAGTCCCTCGCGCGCGAGCTCGACTCCGAGCGCTCCTGAGCTGCTCTTCCCCCTGCAGGACCTCCTCCTCGCCTAGCCACTCCGATGACCTGCAAGTCGACCTTCGCGCCCTGCCATCTCCTTCTTCCTCGCGTTCTCTCCCTCGCCTCACCTCTCCCCCTCTCTGTCTTCAGGGACATGAACCAGCAAGCCGCCAGGGGCACCCGAAGCATGGACCTCCGATGCCGACGCACCGAGCATGCGGCCGTCCGCCAAGCCTCTGCGCCACCCTTGCCAAGTCCTTCGTCGCCGGCACCTGCTCGCTCTGCTCGAAAGCAGAGGAGTTTCGCTCGTCCCGCTCGAGCGCCTTGACCCTGCCTCACTCCCGTTGACCCACGTAGCTCCACTCGACCCCGCGCCTGGTCCGCCACCTCGCTTCGATCTGGATTTGGCCCGGCGCCGCGCCCGTTGACCTCCAGATCCACCGGGTGGGCCACCCCGCTGCAGGCCCAGCTCGCCTCACCCGGCCTACCCTCTCATCCGACCGGCCTGCTTCTCCTCCAGCTGGGCCGAAGCCCATGGTGAGGCCACTCCCAGTGCCCCCTCGGGTACACGGTTGGGCTAGCAGATTCGGCCCATATTGTTTTTTTCCCGTTTTGCAATTTTCTTAATAAACCAGTGCACTGCATATTTACAGATTGGACCCTATACTTCATGCATATAATAACTCTCAAACCATGTATCATATGTAAAAACTTTATATATGAAACTTGTTTAGAATTTTGTCTAGATTCATAATATCCAGCTTTCATCTATGTTTAAAATGCTTAAGATGTTGTTTGTTTAAACTTGCTTAATTAACTTGCTAAAATGATTTATTTCATAACTAAATAACCGTAGCTCCATTTTAAATAAACTTTATATGTAAATGGGGTAGATTTCTGCCTAGTTTAACATGGTGGCTTCACTTTGCATGCTTAACAACTCTAAAATTGTGTTTAGGGCAGAACAATACCAAATCTATAATATGCATATGAGGAGTTTCCGGACTTGTTGTTTTGTTGTTCCGGCCTCATTTAAACTTGCCTAGATTAGATAGTTTCATCATGCTTCCCCTCTTGCCATGTTTAACGACATTTAATATTGTTGGGAACATAAACAAGATCGAACTAAATAAGTCACGTGGTGTTTCGTCAATATGCAACGGAGTTGCATATTGAGCTCCATTTAACTTGTAGTGTTGTTTGTGCATTTTGCCATGCCATGCCCTCTTTAAACCGGACATGCATCATACTTGTTGTGCATCATGCCATGTTGTTGTGTTGGTTGTTTACTATGTTGTGTGCTTCTTTCCGGTGTTGCTTCTTCGGGTTGGTTCCGTTAACGTCGCGTTTGTGAGGACCCGTTCGTCTACGTCCGTTTGTCTTCTTCATGGACTCTTTCTTCTTCCTTGCAGGATTTTAGGCAAGATGACCATTCCCTCGAAATCACTTCTATCTTTGCTTGCTTAGTTGCTCGCTCTTTTGCTATGCCTATGCTGCGATACCTACCACTTGCTTATCATGCCACCCATATTGTTGAACCAAGCCTGTAACCCACCTTGTCCTAGCAAACCGTTGTTTGGCTATGTTACCACTTTGCTCAGCCCCTCTTATAGCATTGTTAGTTGCAGGTGAAGATTGAAGTTTGTTCCTTGTTGGAACATGGAGATGTTGTTCCTTGTTGGAACATGTTTACTTGTTGGGATATCACAATATATCTTTTTTAATTAATGCATCTATATAGTTGGTAAAGGGTGGAAGGCTCGGCCTAATGCCTGGTGTTTCGTTCCACTCTTGCCGCCCTAGTTTCTGTCATATTGGTGTTATGTTCCCGGATTTTGCGTTCCTTACGCGGTTGGCTTATAATGGGAACCCCTTGACAGTTCGCTTTGAATAAAACTCCTCCAGCAAGGCCCAACCTTAGTTTTACCATTCACCACCTAGCCTCTTTCCCTTGGGAGTCGCACATCCCGAGGGTCATCTTTATTTTAACCCCCCCGGGCCAGTGCTTGTCTAAGTGTTGGTCCAAACTAGAGCCACTTGCGGCGCCACCTCGGGGAAACTTGAGGGCTGGTTTTAGCTGTACATAGTGTTCATCCGGTGTTGCCCTGAGAACGAGATATGTGCAGCTCCTATCAGGATGTCGGCGCATTGGGCGGTCTTGCTGGACTTGCTTTACCATTGTCGAGGATGTCTTGTAACCGGGATTCTGAGTCTGATCGGGTCTTCCCGCTAGAAGGAATATCCTTCGTTGACCGTGAGAGCTTGTCATGGGCTAAGTTGGGACACCCCTGCAGGGATTTGAACTTTCGAAAGCCGTGCCCGCGGTTATGGGCAGATGGGAATTTGTTAACGTCCGGTTGTAGAAAACCTGAAGTTGACCTTAATTAAAATACATCAACCGCGTGTGTTACCGTGATGGTCTCTTCTCGGCGGGGTCCGGGAAGTGAACACGGTGTTGGAGTTTAGTTTGATGTAGGTTGTTCTAGGATCACTTCTTGATCATAGTTTTATCGATCGTGCCTTGCCTTCTCTTCTCGCTCTCTTTTGCGTATGTTAGCCACCATATATGCTAGTCGCTTGCTGCAGCTCAACCTCATACCTTTGTCTTACCCATAAGCTTAAATAGTCTTGATCGTGAGGGTGTGAGATTGCTGAGTCCCCGTGACTCACAGATACTTGCAAAACCAGTTTGCAGGTGCCGATGTTACCAAGCAGGGGACGCAACCAAGCTCAGGAGGAGCTCGATGAAGATCTTGTCCCTTGTGTTGTTTCGTTCTAGTCGATCAGTAGTGGAGCCCAGTTGGGGTCGATCGGGGACCTTGTCGCGTTTGGGGATTCTTCTTTTATTTTGGTTTCGTAGTCGGACCTTGATTGTATTTGGATGTTGTAATGCTTTATTCATGTATTGTGTGAAGTGGCGATTGTAAGCCAACTATGTATCTCTTTCCCTTATGTATTACATGGGTTGTGTGAAGATTACCTCACTTGCGACATTGCTTTCAATGCGGTTATGCCTCTAAGTCGTGCTTCGACACGTGGGAGATATAGCCGCATCGAGGGCGTTACAAGTTGGTAATCAGAGCCTTCCCCGACCTTAGGAGCCCCCACTGCTTGATCGTTATTAGCAGACGAGTTGAGTCTAGAAAAATGTTTTGAGTCATTTAGGAATTATATATCGGAGAGTTTAGGAATTCTTTTTACTCCCCAGTCCCTTCATCGCTCTGGTGAGGCATCCTGACGTAGAGTTTTGACTCTTCTCTTCTCAAATTTCACTAAAAAAATTTAGGATCACGCGGGTATCTTGGAATCATTCTGATGGATTTGTGACGAGAACATTGTTCTTGGTGCCTCCTGTCATTTAGGGGTTGTGGCAGTGTCCCGGGGAGTTGAGCTCCGAGGTGTTGTCGTCACAATTTTATCGTTGCAGTTCTGGAATACCTGAGTTTAGTACGCCAACATCGAAAATCTCTTTTATGCAGTTCGTTGGTGAGATAACCTCGACGCCACCCAGTACTGGGGCGGGAGTTCGGGAGTATTGCCATAACTCGTATAACGGATGATTTTCGAAGGTTGAGGTAGATGGTTTCCGAAGTTTTTCTTGGTTATGTGTTGAAGGATGGATACAGCTGGATGTAGGATTTGCTAGTTTTGGGTGAGATATTATGCTTCCCCTGTATCCCCAACACCTGATTGCATAACCGGAAAGTTTCGGGAGTTTATAAGTGGGAATTCGAGTAGCTCGTAGGATATCTTTCCCACAGATGTATGATATGAAATTGGGGTTCGACGTCTAGTGGTCCGCCTATTCACGGTCGGTTTTACAGTGGTCTCGTTGTGTCTTAAAGAGTCCTTGGCTATGCCGACTCGGGGACGCTTCGTATGTCATGTGCACTGCCTTGTACATGATGGTGCTGTACGATCGAGCCCGTGTAGGTCCCACGACGAAAACTTCGGACGAAATCTCTATCATATGTTTGTTCCGGCTTATTCTGCGAGCCAATCCTTTGTTTTGTTTTGAGTTGTGGTATTCGAGTTGCTTCGAAGTCAAATGTTGATGCCATACCTTGCTTAAGCGGTGTTCTCATATTTCTACGTGGATACCAATCCTTCTTGATAATCGAGATTTTCATATCAATCTTGTTCAACCGGTGTGCTTCTCTTCAAGTGGATCCGATCACTCCAACATTCGCAAGATTCAATCTCAGCTTTCTCAACGGTGTTTGTTTCATCCGTCTCCAAGTTGCCTTTGTTTTTCCCACCCTCCCACCCTTTTTCTTCAAGGATTCAGATTTCTTAATCAAGTATCCATCTTATTGATGCGAAGTCTCTCCATTCTTTTCTATCATTATTCTTACCCAGTGGTTCCCTTGAAGGTGTTCTTCTAGTTCACCATTATTCATTCTTTTCTTCTCTGGTGGATCCAAGTCAAGCTTTGTTGATCATACCCCTTTTTCCTCGTTTCAAATACCTTCTCATGCCGGTGCACCTCTTAATCATCCACTTCTTGCTATTCTTTTGTTCCGTAGTGCTCAAGATATTTCGAAGATTCATGTCTCTACTCTGCTTTCGGTCAAGATCTTTCGAGGATGTTATCTCATTCAAGCCATTTAATTCAACCGACGCAATCTATCTTGTAAATCATTCAACGGTGTTTCTTTTGAGTGGGCCCTAACCCATAGGTATTTTCCCAGGATCTTACCTGACTCCTCTTATTTTCCCGGAGCTATCCTCAAATTTCTTTTCGAAGTCTGACGTAAGAATGAGTTATCATCAGTCTAATGCCTTTCTCCAAGATCTGTCAAATTCTTTTCACCGTTGGCTCAACCACTTCTATTTTTCATTCCGGAGTGC